CTTTATTAATATTCATATGTATATATTCACATATTCATTTTACGTATTCATATGCATATTCATAGCCATATACATAATTATATTTCTACTCGTACTCAAATTTCTGTCCATATGCATATGGACAGAAAATCCATTCATTCAGTTTCTATGTTCATACCGAAATCCATATTCATATCTATAATCATATCTTTCATCCACATTCCCTAACATGAATATTCATATACATATTTATGTTTATATTTGTGCTCATACTCGCATTCATATTCTTATCCATATGCGTGCATACCCATATTCCGATTCATGTTCTTATGCGTATTCATACATACATTCACATTCATATTCACGTTTATATTAAAATTCATATTTATATGCATATTTATTTTCATTGTTCATATATTCATATTTATCATCCTTTGGAGAATTATCTTCGCGTTAATCATTTTATTCAAGAAACTTTTTTTCGCCTAGAAAATTGGTGCAACGATGCTTATGACATATTTATATTAATAGTTTACGAGCAGTCGGAGCTAGTTAAAAAGTTCAGCTTAAAAACAGTTTTGATTATTTAACTATAACCAATAAGAAATGCTCAGCAGAAGACTTTTAACTTTTCCATATACTGTCATCAAGGGTGTGTTGGATAACAATGATTTTAGATGAAAAGTATCAAGAAATGCAATCTAGTTTTTAACATATTTTGGACATGATTATGAATATAAGTATGAATATGAATATGGTTATGAATGTGAGTATGAATATGAATATGGTTATGAATGTGAGTATGAATATGAATATAATTATGAATATGAGTGTAAATATGAGTATGAATATGAGTATGAATTTGGGTATGAATATGAATATGATTATGAATATGAGTATGGACATGAATATGACCATGAATATGATTAGGTAAACATTTAGAATTCGTTTATTATAATCATATCGAATGAATATGAACACGATTATGAATATGAGTATGAATATGAATATGATTATCAATAAGAGTATGAATATGATTATGAATATGAGAATGAACATAAATATGAGTATGAATATGATTATGAATATAAGAATGAGCATGAATATGATTAGGTAAACGTTTAGGATTCGTTTATTATATGAATATGAATATGATAATGAATATGAAAATTAACATAAATAGGATTGTGTAAACATTCGTTTACTGTATGTACACACATAAGGACAATACTAAACCACCACGAAACCCGAGCCGTTTTTATTATTCAGAACTCGAAAAACGTAAACACATTTTAAAGCACACCAGAGGATTTCGACGAAATTTCAATAGAATATGAGAACCCTTTAGAAAAAAAAATTAAAGTAATTTTTCAAAAAATTTAACGCAATAAATTTTCCATTTGATATCTATAAATAATGCATAGTAAATATGTAAAGAGTTGAAAGAAAAATTTACTGCTTTTGCTAAATAAGCGCACATCAATAAATTGAATTTCGTATGCAATACATTAGTTTACGTTCGTGAAGCGTATTGATATCATTTATAAAATTTATTTACACAACTGTAGTCATATTCACAATTGTGTATGTCGTTGTTGTTGTAGTTTTATTTTTATTATTATGATTTTTTTCACTTTTCTTTGTATATAACGGAAACAGATTATTTGAGGAACATTATATCTTCACACTGACGGGTAATTTAAATCAAAAACTCAGCTCTATTTAGCTAATGTGAATGGATGTGTTGTGTATAGGCAAATTTAATACATTTAGGAAATTTTCACTAAATATAAAAGAACATATGTTTTACTATCGGCGATGATGTACACACATACTCATTTTGCAGAGGGTATATTAAATTTGTCAAATTTATTTGTAACTAAGAATTTTATATATATGGGATGGGAATAATGCAAACAAATAGTTGACAGTGAGAAAGATAAACGAATAAAAGATTTATGTAATGCAGTAAAGGGTAACGTTCTTGCGAAAATCAAGTTGAAAGTCGTACTTTGACGTCGTTACGTAAACCTATGTTCAAAGAGAAATTTTTTCAACTAAATTAAATTTTTTCTAACTGTCACTGTAAAAATTATGATAATAAATATAGAAAATAAATTAAAAGCAAGCAAGCGACCTACGCATATATAGTGTATGTGCTCTTAAAAAGGAAGAATAGCGAAATTGGCTCAGCCATGTTTGTAAGTGCCTGCCAACACTTCATTTTGATGTGCAAATCAAATTTTATATGCTTTGCTCTAATTGTCCGATATTTAGGTAAAATTAAAAAATCAGGTAATTTAATCGTCTTTGCACAATTAGTAACAATTGCAGATCGATGAATTTATTGATCGGAGCTTCTGATGTGGTATTAGGTAAGTTTCTCGGACACGTCGGCTATGTTATGCAACGATTTAAATAAGTTTACATACAGTTGTCTATGAAGAGTCATTTCCGTTAAGTAAATATAGTAGAGTTATGCTTACATAGCCTGCAAGGCCTACATTACTGCAAACATATATACTCTTTATATACAAAATCGCCGAAAAAGCAACAAATGGAAAGACATTCAGCTTAAGCCGGGTCTAATTTCTTCCATACTCTCATCTCTTATTTCTCCAGTTAATGTGAGGCCTATACCAGAATTGCCAAATATATATTAACATAAACCACTCAGCGGAATTAGTCCTGCTTGCTTGTCCGTTTGTTGAAGTCACGCTAGCTAAACAACTAATCATCCAAGTCACGCTTATAAGCAAAGGAGGGAACCTTAAGTTTTAAAAACTTTTGTTTCGTCTCTATGCACAAAAGTAAGAAAGTCAATTAGTGACAATCCGAATTTATGATGAATGCCTTCTTCTCTGTAAATTATGGTTTAACGTACGTCAAGCTTCTGGATCAGGCGTCTAAGTTGTCATTCATTTCAAAGAAATTTCAGATGAAAATGATAGTTTACTCGTAACTATTTAGTCAATATATACGAATTCTTTATCCATAGTCATCCATTCTTACAGTTCTCTAGTATTACGTTTCATTACATTTGTTTGTTGAATTTAGATCCCCCTCTTTTAAAAATAGGACTTTTATTACTGATCTTATTCTTACTCTTTCAACATCCCATTGCCTTTTCATCGTTGATATAGAAGCATCAACGAGGAGCGCATTTTTTTTTTACAATTTCTTCTCTTTGACGTTCATAGGATCCTTTATAATTGTTTTTTGATCACTTTTTATGCATGTTAGTCCAATTTACATAACCATTAATTAACCACTTGTCCCAAACGTCATCGTCAATATGTTGTCGGTTGGAAATATTTCGATGATTCCCATGTTGTTACATTCTCAACTTATTCTGAAATGCACGTACCGGGTCTTGGCTCTGTTGGGACATAATGCAAGCTTTGCTGCATCCGTTATCCTAGTTTCTTCTTCATGATTGTTGCTGCTTCGATAAGAACTGAACTGTTTTTTGTATTTGAATTATAATTCTCTTTTTAAGTTTTAATTAATACATGAGACCTATTACTATTGGTATTATGTCTATCATTACTAGATTTGATGCTTATAGTTTCTTGAATATTATTGTCCTACATGACTGAGAAATCAATTATAAATGCTTAGATGTAATATCTTTCCTACATTATCGTGTCTTCACTTGTAGTGATTCACGGTAAACAACTATTAAGCAGATGTGAAATTGTTTCCGGTATACTTCCACATCTATGACAACTGCCAGCTTCGATGCTTGCATTTCAACCAACTGTTGACATTTTCGAGATCAATATTTGCTGATTGCTTAAATTTGGATATTTTCCATCTGATGATATTAATTTTAATAATTGCATCACATTCTCTATTGTGATTGATTGGATATGGCTATTGCTTTTTAAATTCACTGGTATTAGGTTATCATCCGCATTTAATAAGGATATGTAGAAGGTTACGAAGATGAAGATTTGATTATTATTATTATTGCTGACAGACTGACAGGTAAAGCATATCATATCCGTATGCGGTACAGCAAAGAAATTGGTTTTCGTATACACAAGCAAGTGATCAGAGGGTATCAAAAGAATCGGTCTGAACCAAGTACAATCTCTTTCTTGCTTCCTAATCACATGCATTATACAAATATTTACAATTTCAAACGTTCATATAAAATGTAACGCAAAATTGCTCACACTTTTATATGCATATAGGCTTGTACGTATGTTTGAGTATAGTGTGTTTCCAAATAATATAAAAAAAAAAGAATTATTCTGAAAAAAAAAAAACTAGCAATAAAACGTTTAAAATGTTTTCATTAATATTTCCAAGAATGATAAGAAATTCCACTATTTCATGCGAATTTAGCCTCGAACGTGAATAGAAGGAAATTTGATTTTGAATGAATTATTTATTTAGTTTACCCGATAACCTTAAGCAATTGTAATGTTATCTCTTAAAGAAATTGTTATACAAAAAAAAAAAAAATAAAAAAATAAAAAAAAAAAAATAAGACTGATTTAATAATAAACGTGAGTTGAGTTGCAATGAATTCGAATTCTTTTTTTTCTTTTTAAATTAAGATTCTACTTCAAATTAATTTAATTTCCTTTTTCAGAGTTCCAAGTTATTCCTAGAAACGATCGACTATTCGAAAAAGTTAAACAAAAAAAAAAAAAAAAAAAACACGAATGAAATAAATTAAAATAAAATATATTCTAAAACACAAACGAAAACTGCCTGAAATTTTAACTGATTTTCTTTTTCATAATTTTTTCCAAATAATTAAAAGTAAAAAGAAATCATACACAAAATCTAAAGTTACTAAGTTACTAAGAAAAAATAAACAAAAAAAAAAAAAAAAAAAAAAAAGAGGAAAAAAAAAAACTCTGTTAAAAAAATATTAACATAAAACTACCAGCAACAAAGTTGCAGCAACAATGTTTAACACAATAGTCAAAATTAATGTTTTTATGAAAATAGTAGAAATTTAAGTAAAATTTTGCAAAAAGAAAAAAAAAAAAAACAAAAATCACGCAAATCAAAAAAATTTAAAATTTTTCCAAATCTTTAAAAATAATAAATGAACATATAAGCCAAAAAAAAAGGGAGAGGAACAAAATAGATAAGACGGTTTCATTGCTTAGAGAAAAATCAATTTAGTATGGTGCGTATGAATGTTTCAGCTTCACCCGAACAAGCTACAACACAACAACAAAAACCCAATAATTTGTCTCATAAAAATAATCACAATAGCAACAGTAGTCTAAGCAACAATGTTGCTTCAACATCATCGTCAACGTCATCATTGAATAGTACTGCATCATTGGAGCAAAGTACCTCAGCAGGCATAGTAATGGTGGTACCGCAACAGCAACCGCAACAGCAACAGCAACAGCAACAACAACAACAAACGTCGCAACAATCACCACCAACACCTACAGCAGGCCAGACTCAAGGAATACAATCTCAGCAACAGCAAATTCAATATACTCATGTCCAGCATAATATGCAACATCATGTATTGCCTCAACAACAACAACAACAACAGCAGCAACAGCAGCAGCAACAACAACAACAGCATCAGCAACAGCAACAACAACAGGCTCAACATTCGCCTTCTGAAGCCAGTTCAAATCCTTCGTTGCCGGGCTCACCACCATTGCTGCAATCAACCGCTACGCCACCTCAGGGGGCCCAAATGGTAGCATCTGTGCCTTGTGCTGTACACCATCCCCAACAGCACCAGCAACAGCAAATGGCTTTAATGGCAGCCATGCAAGCACATATGGCCGCCACGGGTGCCGGACCATTACCACCGCATCCTACGCATATGCATCATCATCATGGTCCACCACCGGGACCACATGGGCCACCGCCTCTGCCACCGCCAAATCAACATGGTCATCAACCACTTGAGAACGGACATGTTGCTAGCGGTATCTCACCAAGCGGTTCCACAGCTAGTAATATTAGCTCAGGTAGTTCAGGCAATGGGATTAATGCAGGAAGCGTGCTGACAGCACCTGGTCCACCACCGCCAGGACCTGTTTATATACAATATCACGGGGAATTTTATCCAGCTGAATATTATTTGGCCCCTCATCCACATGAGGGCATTTGTCCACAACATCCACATCATCCCCAGCCAATGTGTGCAATACCAACCGACTTCGGTAAGTTTTTTTTTTTTTTTTGTTTTTAAAGTCAAGCAAGCGAGTTTGAGAAAAATGTTAAAAATTTCTGAATTTAATATCTGACGACACTCGCAGATAAATACATTGTAGTACTAATAGAGTATTAATTTCGAAAAATAATGCCATCGCAGATTAACACCAGTTTAGTAATCATCAGTTTACACCCTGACACCTGCACGTTAAAAGAAACAAAAAAAAAAAAAGAAGAACAAAAAATTCATAGATCAGACATCAAAATCCGAGCTCATTCAGTCATCCGTGCATTTAAATAGTAGAAAATTTATTATGTTAAGACTGAGAGAAAGAACGAGACACACACACACACACACACAGAGATAATGAGAGAGAGAGAGAATGAGAGAGAGAAAGAGAGAGAGAGAGAGAAGGAGTGCAAAGAAGTGCAAGTAGAAATCCCGTTGACTAGACTCAAGTGAAGTGATGCATAGAAAATGCTCTTAAATGAATTTCTCAAATGCATAAATTACAAGAGACGAAATGCAAAGAAACTGACGTCCACCCATAAATGCCTTCATAGATGTATGCAGTTACATATATATATAGGCATATGGCTTTATATAAAGAGGTTTGGAAAGCCGTTATCCGGCGCCATTTTTCAAAAACATCAGAGGCCAAAGCAAACATGTACGACATGACATTTACGAGCCACGATTTTTTCTCAAAAAAAAAAAAACATATTTAAATTAAAATTTTTTTTTTTTTTTCATTTTTATTATATAAGAGAAAGTGTGAATTTTTTTCTTTACTTTCGTTTACTTGAGTGCGTAGTTAGTTACATTTAAACCAAAAAAAAAATGTCAACAAACGAAGGTTTTGTCATTAAAACAGAAGTTGTGGTTGTTGTTTTCGTCATTGTTACTATTTAGCAAGTGTTTTTAGTGACGAGACGAATAAATGCTATTTAAGGATTTGTAATTCGATCGCCATTAATAAGTATAAAAACTAAATGAAAATAAACGCAGTGTCTGTAAGACCTCCTCTTCTAGTTTGTTACGTATGTCTATTGTTAGGCCATCATATTCTAGAATCGCTTATTCATTCACTTAACTGTATGTTTCCATTATTCAAGTGCTTTGCTTGTTACCCTAAAAAGTAGCAAAAGACTTTTAAGGTAAATACAAAAATTTACAAGAAACAATAACAATAACAACAATAGCAATAATAATAACAACAAAAAGCGTACATAAAAAGTAAACAGAAAACAGAAAGCCCCTTAGGTCGACAGACATAACATTAGACAAGCAGCTAAGAAATTCATATATACATAGATACATAGATACATATGTATACAAACATCAAATACATATACATTGAAATGCTTAGAAGCACTTAGAAGAGAGGCATTGAATGCATACAGTGGAAATTTTATGCAAGACTTGATTAATAGTTTTGTTAATTTGTCATTAGTCTTTGGCTCAATGATAGCAAACAGCAACGACAACAGCAATAACAATAGATTGTAATGCCGTGCATTATGTAAATGCATGTCTGTATTAGTTTGTGTGTGTGTGTGTGTGTGTGTGTTTATGTGTATGTGTATATGTTTCTGCTTATATTTGTAATAAATGGCATCGGTTTTAATGGCTCGTTGCTAATGCCATTCACTACATTTATTACATTCCTTTTGCCCTCGCTTTTACTTCTTTTTCTTCTAATTCTTTTAGCATTATGTTGTTATAAATAAGTTCGTGTCGATAAAGTATGCGTGTTGTGGCTGCTTGTGTTACTTTTTCATGCGTATGTTATTTTAAAGGAATATTTCTAAATTCATCTTCCTTTACTCCTTTTGAGGTATTATTCTTTTTTCTTTCTTTTTTTTTACGACCACTCAGGGGACGTTCCCTATGCGTGCATGCAGGGTGGTGATCAAGAAGAGTTATGGGAAGAGTGGGGGTGAAGAAGGGGAGTGGTGTTTGTGAACGTTCAACTTGAAAGTGGAGATATCAGGTATGGCAGGAAAGACCAGAACGATAAGTAGCGGGAGTGAGTTGTACGGTATGTGGGTAACACCGCGACAAATGGAGGACAACGCTGAGAAAGACGTGTTGTTCTTTTGAAGGACTTAATCGGCGGACTTATCTCTTATGTCCGTGCAACACTTGCCCTAAATGTAACTGTACGCAAGCGCAACCCATCCTGCATTACGCCGATGTCCAAGGGTACCGAGAGATCTGGACAAACTTTTATCGCCCATGTGCACCTGAGCCTGTCGCTGTATGTCGTCGATGGCCTCCAAGCAAAGTTTGGAGGCTCCCGCTCAACCCCTGCCTCTTATACTGTAATTTGGACCAAATATAGGCGGTGTCGCAGTGAAATGTTTTTTGCACTGGTTTAAAAGATCTAATTGACACTTTGAACACATGTGCTGTATAACGAACTTCGTTTACTGTTCTCATGCCCACAACATTAAGGACTGCTGATTCTTCAATGATTCGTCTAAAGAGAGAGGTTTTTCATAATTTTTCCTGTGCGGATCAATATTGTTACCAAAAACAAAGAGTTTCTTTTAGTTTGGACATTTTATTAGTTAAACATTTCATGGGAAAATTATTATAGCTTGGCTCATAAAAAAAAAAAAACGGGAAACATTGACTTGGCTTTAAGGTTTACTATCTATCATAAGCTAAGGATGTATTAGAGTCAGATCAGTAATAAACGCAAGTATAGAACAATAGTATAGTTTGTTCTCGATTGGCGTTACTTTTGGAATCGAGCTTACGATATCCTTTACAAAAAGATCAGAGGCTGTTGTCATTATATAATATGCACCCTATACCGAAATAATATCTCCTCTTTTGAGACTCCACATAGTAGGTAACATGTTGCAGGCACAGTGTTACTAACGTTTCTTTAAGAGCCGTTGTAATGCAAGACCTAGACTTTGCATGTCAATTATTGCTACCCATAACATATCTTTTCGTATAATGCACTAATATTTCCTTTTGCCATATTATTCGATTCAATTTCACTAGCATTCTCTGGTGGAGACTTCGTGTGATCTCAGCAACTCATAATGCAATGTAAATCCCTCAAAAGGAGGGCACCCTACGATTGATGTTAACTGTGACTATTCGTGCTCTGGATAGTATATGCCAACCATTGTTTATGATCCGTCACGATTCACCGACGTCAGTAACCTTCGATTTACATATAAACATTAAAGCTTGTAACCTTCATCATCAGATTTAATAAAAGCTCCAAAAAAACAAAATTGCATGTACTGCAAAAATTTAGAACTTGTGGAAAGGCGACGCTTTAATATTAAATTGATTAGTTTTTAGTCTCATACTATTCAAGCTTTTGTTAAACGATTTCTTAGTTAAAATATTTACTCTCGCTATGCATTAATTTTCCTTTCTATTATT